ATTTTTCCTGTTTTACAGATAAGTAAACTGAAGCTTGGAAAGAAAAGTAGCATGTTCTTTTCCTAATCCCCCTTAATGCTAGTGCCTTCCTTCTAAGAATATTTCCACTGTAGCCTGTATTTATCTTGTGTGTATACAGTCGTTTGCAAGTCGTCTCTCCCACTAGGTAGTGAGCTTCTTGAGAATGTTGGGTTTTTTTGCCTTTCTTTGTAGCCCTAATGGTAAGTACAGTGCTTGGCATATAGTAGGTGCTTACTAAATGCTTGCTGACTTGTGCATGGTCACATGGCTAGTAAGTGACTGAATTAAAGCCTAAGTCCAAGTCTTCTGTCATCAAGTCCAGTGTCCATTTCACCCCACTAAGTTGACTCTTAATCAAAACTTGACATTTTGGATACCCTAAAGGAAGCATGTAAGGAATCAGTCATACAGGAGGCAATATGGTATAATGAAAAGAGAACCATTGGATACAGAAATTCTACGCTTAATTGATCTTTCTGAGTTTTAGTTTCTTGTATCTGTAAAACTGGCATAATTCTCCATGTGCTACCTGCCTCACAGACCCGTTGTAGAGAAAACTTTGGTTTACACACCTCGGCATGCAGGATGGTGAAGATGAAAGCAGTCATTCCTTCATCGGTATTTGAAATTAAAAAAAAAAATCACACTACCTGATCTGGTCAGTGGGTCTCAGGGTCCATCTTCATCTTTCCCAACATAGAGTTAATTCGTACAGCATATGTTTAGGATTTGGGTGTCAATCTACAAGAGGCAAACTGCATTATGGTGAACCCTGGCAACATGACATAGCACAGCTCATGCTGTGGGACGGGGCTCAAATAGAGAAGGTTGGAAGCTCCTTCACTTACCCACTGCATCTCATCAACGAAACAAGATCAAGAAAATGGTATTTGTCTTTAGCATTTATTTATCATTGGGGGAAAAAATGGTGTATGTATGTATGTATGTTTTTTTTTTTGAGCAAGCAAAGACCACAAGCACGTCACAATCAATTGGCTATACATGGGTACTTTGTATCATTCTCCTACTAACAGCAAGGCCAGAAGGCTCAGCACAGTACATAGATAATCCATGAGAGGTGACAAAACCCAGGCCACAAAATAGTAATTAGATGCTTCCGATCTGGCGCAACAAGGCAAAAGTCCATGGATCTGATGAGAAGAATGTAGCAAACAGAAAACCGCAGGTAAGCAAGAGCATGGATTTTTATTCAGCAAACTCTCAGGACAAACAAAAGAATAACTTGAGCGTGATATTGCAAAGGGAGGTAGCCAGGTACAAGGACAAAATGGGACGAAGCAGGTGGTCAAAGCACCTCCATTTTCGTAAGGAGGAGATAGTACATTTTACATGAAACCCACATTGATTACAAATTGGCACGGGAATGAAGCTGGAGTTGAATCTGCTCTGTCAGTCATACTTTAACACTTGAAAGATATGTGATTTCATTGGTGTGAGCGTTCCCCTCAGTAAGACAGACGGTAACCCCTGCATGCTTTAGCAGACTCTTACATGAGTTACTGCGGCCAAGAAAATTCATCATCTGGTGGCCAAGCACCTGGTGAGTTATATTTGGAAATGGGAAATAGGATTTTCCAAAGAAGCCTAAGATTCAAAGGAAACTCTAAATGGCATGCAGTAGGTGCTTGATAAATGCTTGCTGAATGTTGAACAAATGAATGAATGAATGAGCTTTCTTGATGACGCTCCTTAGTTATGTGGCTTTTTAAGAACAGATGCCTACCCCATGTAACTGGTCTTCTGGCTCCCTTCTCCCTGGCCAGTCACAGCACACACCAAATGCTTCTGAGCTATCATCACCTGGACTTCCTAGATTGAATCACTTGGGGTTCTGTCCTGGAAGGCCCAGGACCTGAATGTAGATTAGACTACGTGCAATATCCTTCGCTAAACTCAATGACAAGAGGTCAAATTCCATCCTTTGTGCAGACCGCAGAAGCCATCTGTAGCTTCAGGTCAAACTGAAGAGTATATCTTTATATATGAGAACATAACCACAAGGCATTTTAAACCATGCCACTGTGTATAGTGACTTCCACAAATATCATTTTGTGCGAGTGTGTAATAATAATAATATTATTAATTCGCATTGATATATAGTACCATGTGACTCCAGATAAACCACTTAACCCTGCTGAGCCTCAGTTTCTTCCTTGGTAAGATGGGATGATGGTTTGTAAACTGTTTGTAAACCTTACGGTTTATATACCATAAGGCATTACGGAAACATTTATTATTTAAGGCTTGCAAAGCACTTTCATAACAGTGCTCCAGTGAGGTGGATTACTACCTCTATTTTGCAGGTGATGAAACAGGTCCCAAGAGGGAAGGTGATTTGCTTGGGGCCACATGGCTAGTAAATATAAAGAGCTGGCGTATGAACTCAGGTCTCCTCACTTCAAGACTAGAGCTCTTGTTACTATATGACAGACAGCATGCAGGCAATAGATGTTAATTACCTGGCTCCCAAATCATTTGGTTGGAAAAGTTCTCAAAACAGTTTTGCTGCCAGGTACATAAAACTACCATATGGTGGCAAGAATGGGGCTCGCTGTTAAAAAAAAATCTTCTTTGTTATCCATACTTTGAAATATTAACTTGAAATGCTCAAAATTTTTAAAGGAATTCAAGATGATCTGAAAGGAACTTATATGATTGTGTTATACCTAAAATGTAAACCATTGCTAGGGTCAACCTGTCTGATGAATGCTGAGTTTTGGAAAGAGCAATGGAAATGTGAGCAACTTCAAGATTATCTGGTTCTCTCTTAACAAGAACTTCTGATTAATGTTAAGTTTAGCCAGCTAATAGCTGAGATTTGGACTTCATCCACAATGCATCTTGAAACAAACTCTCGTAAGTAGGAATGACCGGAGTTTAGGGTCTGATTTTGACTAACCTTCTATTTTCTATAGCTCTTTATCTACCTCACAGTCCTCTATCCTGAGATAAAAGATGGGTCTAATGGGTCTGACGGGGCACTAGTGAGTGTCACTAGGCATTTTAAGTGCTTAGTTAATTTGTTGAGGAGTTGGACAGTCAGACTCATCATGACCCATAAACAGACAAGTGTGAACGGAAGTTCTGGCCTTAAGGTTAAGAATCCCATAGAACTTGGTGAAGGCCCACTTCCAGGGAACAGGAAGGACCCAAGGGTATATTTGAAATGAGGAATTGTGAGGCCTTTATTCTACTTTCATTAAGATATATCAAGTTTCCCTTATTTGCATGAAAGGAAAAAACACAAAAGAATCAACAGCTGATGCTTGCTGTCAAGCAGTGTTAAGGTATTTCCCTTGGTTTGGGGACATTGAAGATCACTATGAGTGAGATCAGTGAGGTGGGGTCCATGAAAGCATGCATGTCAGAATGAGTTATGTCCTCAAGTGGTCCCAAGGCCTTGTTTCCCTGGGTGATTTCCATGGTGCCCTCCTAAGTACTGAAGGTATTTTCACATTGACATCCTAACTAGTTCACACTCTAAAGCTATGCTTGGGAATGATTCCCATGGTGACACACAAAATGTGACCCTTAGACCTGGGGCACAAGCCATACAGATACATTACACAATACACCAAGCTCTTCACTGGGTTGTCATTTAGGTCCCAAAACCTTGCTAACCACTTTTATCATACAACTCTCAATCTCCAACCAAGTCCTAGAAACTTTCCTACAAAGTGATGCTTCAGCAACTTCTGTTCTTCTCTGAGGAAAAGAGAAGAGCTTGGAAAGAGGAAAAATCTAAAAAAAAAAAAAAACCACCACAAATTTTACTACTATCCCTACTTTAAATCCTACCTTTTTTCTAAGAGACGTGATGATCTCTTTCTATAGGCTCTATAACAATGACTCTTGGATTCTTCTTTCAGTTGCATTACTTTGAATTGGTCTTGTCTACAAAGTCTGAGGCACTGAAAATAACATTCAGTCACTAGGGCAAACATCTGCTTCCATCTCTGCTCCCTGGTGAACTGATCCTGTCTTCTAGGACATTCCTAAGTCATTCCTATATTGGCTCCATGTGATCATTCAGCACATTTGTGAATTGACACAGAATTTCAAGGGTAGTTACTGGAAACAGACATAGATAGCTCTATCTTTCTAATGGAGCCTTCTATAAAAACACAGTGAATCCTGACAGTTGTGACTAATTTTGTTTTATCTACATTAAGGCCAAGATCATTCATTATATGTCCACAAACAATTACTGACATTTTTTTGCAACACATGATAATCATCTGAATTTGAGAAATGAACATGTCTTCCATGAAAGACCCTAAAAATGAGCATGAGAAGGCGTTTCTGTGGATACTTTAAAGCAGCACCAGGAGATTTCCATGAAAGTCAAGAAGACCCCTGTGAAATCAGTGAATCTTAAGGAATCATAGAAATTCATACCATTAAGGAATCATAGAAATCATCTACTCTAGCTCCCTTATTTAACAGATGAGGCTCTGAAAGAATAAATGAAATGTGCAACCTCATGGTGGAACCAGAACTCAAATCCAGGCCAGCGATCTATCAATGGCACTACGCCTCTTGCGTCCTGTCTCAAATATCTTTCTCAGCCTTCTCTTCTAATCTCATTCCCAATAGGGATGGAGAGTGATGGGTACTAACATGGATAGGTATGCATGGGTCATTGTAGCCCCGTGCCTCTCTCTTTTAATGGTCCTGTGTGTTTAGAGTGGGTTGGAGTGCTGGAAGCATGATGGAATCTGTGATCTTAGCAATGAGGCTTTCTAGCCAGCCATGGGAAAAGAAACCAAAAACCCCTCCCCAGCCTCTCCCTCCCCCAAAAGCTTCTAACAGGTTTATAACCAAAGCAGATTAGAAGCTCTAATTAATTTTGTGGCCTTTATTAAAAAAAAAAAAAAGAAAACAAATAACAACAACCAAAAAAAAAAAAAAAACAAACCCCAAAGGAGAGAAGAAGGGAAAGGAAGGTGCAAGGAAATTTACTCTTTTGCCTCAGCCAGTTTATTGTTCATCTCTTTACTTTGCTCCTTGTCCTGCGGCCCAGCCCCGCTGGCTCCGCTCGCTGTTGGGCCCTTTTTCTTGGTGCTCCGGCCAGATGTCAGCTGCTTCTCTTTGGCCTTTTTCAGTGGTTTATGGCTTGTCGGGGTCTTTTTTGGTTTAGGGGTCGGAGCGCTGGGCTTCTCCACCTGAATGGGTTAATGGACAAATCACATACACAGAGACATGGAAACACAGAAACACGGAAGAGAAAGGCAGGAAAATGGATTGAGAGGAAAGACATCAGACTTGTAATTTCCCTTCTACCTCGTGCCTCTCCCTTTCCTCCCCCAATTAATTATAGCAAGTGTCTGGACTAATTTTTCAAGAAGAATCTGGAGAAACAGTAACAATAGTTCACATTTACATAGCACTTTATAACTGATAACGTACTTTGTTCATGAATAACAGTGTGAGATAAGTAGTGCAGATTTTGTGCCCATTTTACAGATGAGGGAACTGAGGCTGAGAGTATCCATTGTCACCATCCATCAGAGTGGCTGGGGCCACATCTTTCAGCCCAAGAAAGCATCAGAACTAAGTGAAACATAGGGCCTGAGGATGCCTAGCTTAGTGAGCCCTGCCTTTGATATACTATATTCTGCATTTGTCTTCCTTGTTGACTTGTGACTTTGGACCACATCTTGACCTGATTTAGCTGAAGCCCCACTCTGACATTGTTTTCTGTTTTAGGATGGGGCTGTGTCACACACAACAATCATCATCATCCTCCTCCTCCTCCTCCTCATCATCATCATCACCATCAGCAGTAACACCATCATCATTACTATCAGTGGCATCACCACCACCACTGCCATAATGCTAATTTCTAGAGGGCATCAACATCAATAAAGCACTTTCCTCCCAACTGCCCTGGGAGGTAGGTGATACCTCTCTCTCTCTCATTGGTTTTGAAAGTTAACTGTAACATATTGGCCTCTGGCCCCCTGGTACTGTCCATGGCCTTGTGCTTCCCTGCCCCCCAAACTCCAAAGCAGACTCCAAGGAAGTCTGTTACTTTCTGCATCTGGTGAGCTCTAGGAGGAACTTCAAGGGACTGTAGGCCTACGGTCATTTGGCCAAGTAGTGGCAGAGTCAAGGCATGACCTTGGTCTCCTGACTGAGTCAAGTGCTCTGCTCACTATAGAGATTAGCCTCTTTGACGTTCCCCCATCCCTAGGGTAGGCCCTTCAGTATAATATACAGGATTTGACATTTTAGTTGTGAGGGTCTGACAAATTGCTGTGGACAGTAAGCAAAAGCTTTTATAGGCAAAATATTACACCTGAAATCAGAAGAGCTGGGTTAAAATCCTACCTATAATAGTTATGTGACCATGGACAAGTTACTTAAAGCTTTCTTCAGTCTCAGTTTCCTTGTGTGTAAAATGGACGTAACAGCAGATGCCTACCTCACAGGGATGTTCCAAGGAAAAGATTTTGTGAATCTTAAATTCACCTGAAATGTGAGTTCTTATTTTCGCATATACTTTTAAAAAAAAGAATGAGCTTACAACTGACAAAGAAGAGCCTACACAACGTTAAACTCTAAATTCTCTCTCAGGTGGCTTTATTGTATGATTAGAAGACATGTTGGAGTCCTCAGTCAGGTAACATGATTTATACTCTCTATTTCATACGATGGTGGTGAGAAAAATGCTTTGGAAGTATAAGGTGTTATAGAAATGAGAGAAAATATGTAACCATTTTACATAATTGTAATTGGTATGTATATATATGTACATGTATTTGTACATATATGTATATATAAATACATATAAACAATATAGGGGTGTGGTTTGTCCTTTGTTTTCAAAGAGGACCAATGACATAATTTGAGATCAGCTATTGCTAGGCTCCCTTCTTTCCCACTTTTCCTCCCATTATTTCCAGTCCATATTTTTGACCTTTGGTTCCTCTATATGAATTTCATTATTTTTTTCTAGCTCTACAACGTAATCTTCGGCAGTTTTACTGGTATGGCACTAAGGAAGTTAATTTAGGTAATATTGTCATTAAAAAAAATTATATTGACTCAATCTACCCATAAACTTAATTTGCACATGAATTGGATTTAAGTTAGGCAGAGTTGTACAAAGTCATCAGCCTCACTCTCTCTTCCTGAGTCATTGAAGTCCAGTGGCAAGAAAAAAGTCAAGATGACTGGTGATGGCCCAGGATGCCTGACAAACTCTAAGTGCTACACCTCAGTTGAAGGAAAAGATCTTTAGAATGAATAGAAGAAGACAGTGAGGAACACAATCACTGTCTTCAAATGTCTCAAGTGTCTGAGATGCTCTCATGATGAAAAGGGATTCAATTTATTTGGTGTGGCCCTTGGTGGCAGAACCAAACCAAAGAGAGGAAGTAACAGGGAGGTAGATGTTGCCTCAACTGAAGAAAAATTTCCCACCAATAAGAGTTGTTCCATAATGGAGTCTTTTTCTCTTCTCTTTGATCTCTTTCGGATATAGGCACAGTAGCTAGGTCGAAGTTACAATTTAATAATCTTTGGGGCATAGTTCCAAATTGTTTTCCAGGATGGCAGGACACAGATCCACCAACAGTGCATTAGCGTGCCTGCTTTCCCACAGCCCCTCCTACATTTCATTTTCCTTTGTCAATGCTGCCAATTTGATAGGTATGAGGTGGGAGCTCAGCTGCTTTGATTTGTCTTTCTTTAGTCGTTTGTGATTTGGAGTATATTTTCATATAGTATTGATAGCTTGAATGTCTTCCCTTGATAACTACCTATTCACATCCTTTGGTCATTTATTGATTGGGGAAATGGGTATTATTTTTATATATCTGAATCAGTTCGTTGTATATGTTAGAAGTTACGTCTTTATTGTAGAACCTTGATGTAAAGGATTTTTTCCTCCAGTTAACTGTTTGCCTTCTTATCTTAGCTGTATTCGCTTAATTTGTGTAAAAACTTTTTAATTTTCTGTGATAAAAATTGTCCATTTTATCTTCTGTGATCCTCACTATCCCCTGCCTAGTTATGAACTCTTCCTCTGTCTATAGTCCTGGAAGCTAATTCCTTCTTTACTCATTTAATTTGTTTATGATTAAACCCATTACATCTAAGTTATATATCCATTTGGAGTTTATTTTGGTATATGGTATGAGAAGTTGGTCTCTACCTAGTTTCTGCAAGGCTGCTTCCAGTTTCCCCAGAAGTCTGCATCAAATATTAAGTGGTTTCCCAGTAGCTGGTGTCTTTGGGTTTATCAAACTACTGTTCATCAAACTATTGTGTTTGTTTGCTTCCATAAGTTGTATAACTAATCTGTTTCTCTGATTGACCTTTCTATTTTTCGACCAGCACTGAACTGTTTTGATGATTGTTGCTTTGTAGTATAGTTTGAAATCTGCTATTGCTAGGCCTCCTTCTTTCCTACTTTTTCCCTCATTATTCCCAGTCCATATTTTTGACCTTCAGTTCCTCCATATGAATTTCATTATTTTTTTCTAGCTCTACAAAGTATTCTTTGGTAGTTTTATTGGGATGGCACTAAGGAAGTTAATTTAGGTAATACTGTCATTGAAAAAATTATATTGGCTCAGTCTACCCACAAACAACTAACATTTCTCTAATTATTTAGGTCTATCTTCATTTCTGGAAAGAGTGTTTTGTAGTTGTATTCATATAGTTCCTGTGTGTATCCTGATAGGATATACTCCAAAGTATTGTATATACAATGCTACAAATACTACATTCTATAGTTTTCAAAAAGCAATTTCTCTATCTCTTCCTGGTAGGTTTTGTTGGTAACGTACATAAATACTGATAATTTATGTGGATTTGTTTTTTATTCGGCAACTCTGCTGAAGTTATTAATTAATTTGATTAATTATTAGTTGACTCTAGGATTCTCTAAGTGAATCATCATATCATCTACAAAAGTGAAAATTTTGTTTCCTCCTTGCCTATATTACTGTAGCCAGAATTTCTAGTACTGTATCTGATTGTAATAGTGACAATGACCATCCTTGCTTAAAGGAAAGGACTTTGTTTATCCATTTCCATTATATATAATGCTGGCTCTTGGTTTTTGTTAGATACTATTTACCATATTCAGGAAAAAATCCATTTATTCCTACATTTTGTAGTATTTTCAACAGAAACAGGTGTTGCATCTTGGCAAATTATTTTTCTGCATCTATTGATATAAGTATATGATTTTAATTTTTTTGTACTTAACATGATTAATTACATTTATAGTTTTACTCATAGGACATATCTAATCTATGCTCTGTCCTCTCCTCTGACACTGCCACCACTCTGGTGCAGGCCGTCATCACCTCACATTTGGACTATTGCAATATCCTCCCTCCCTGGTGGATCTCCCTACCTCAAGTCTCTCCTTACTCCCATTCATCTCCTGCTCAGCACAGGTCTGACTATGTCACTTCTTTTCCTCCCCCTCTCCTCCATCATTCAATAAACTCCAGTGGTTCCCTATCACCTCCAGGATCAAATATACAATTCTCTGTCTGGCAGTTGAAGCCCTTTATAATCTAGCCCTTTCTTACCTTTCCAGTCTTCTTATGCCCTACTCTCCTCCATGTATTCCATGATTCTGTGTCACTGCCCTCTTTGCTGTTCCTCCTGATTCCATGTGGAGAGAGGCTCTCAACCATTACTTGCTTCATCCTTATTCCGTGTCTTTCATGAGGGCATATCTTTTGGAGTGCCAAACTTGAACTCCTACTTTTATTTCTTTATGTTACTGCATTTATAGGTCTTACCCAGTCCTCCTTTCCCCCCCTATTGTACCTCGTTGTATTAATGAATATTAACTCATGAAGAAAGCAATATCAAAAGGAAGCTTTACTGTGTGGTGGGGATGACATTGTATTCAGAGTCACAAGGCTTGGTCCTACACTCTGCCTTCCTCATTTTACTCACCTCTCCTAAAAAGAAGTTATCTTGACACCAGTTCTAAGTTCTTGCTATCAGCCTGGGTGCTGCCTGACCCTGGGGACTCAGGTGTCTGCTTTTCCTGCTTTGGACGTAGTGCTGGAAGATAACAACTCTTTCCAACACAAGATGATATCCTAATAAGCAATTTCCCCCAAGACAAAACCCAATTTATGACCCATATCTTTTACCAAAGACATGCAACCTGCACCCTAGGAATGTTCCTTGGCTGCATTGTTTCCTTTTCTTGTCAGGGTTTGACATCCCCTTCTACCCCCATCCCAGTCCCTTCCCTCAATTGCTTTTATTTTATTCTTCCACACCCCCTTTATTGAGAACTAAAGCAATTATTTTCACTTCTCTGTTCACCTAGAGACCAGGTGTGGGTACATCTCCTGCCCCATCTGTCTCTTACCTCGGCAACTTCCCACCTTGTTATCTTGTCCTCAAAAGATATTGATTCACTTATGAAGGACCTAAGGGTTTAGTCCATAGAGTGTTAATTTAGCTCTCCTTTCCTTCCCTGCCTCTTCAAGTGTCTCTTAGAGCTTTTTGTCCCTTGATAATATCTGTCCTTTATATATTACCCCGTGAGTTCTTTTCTTTTTCTTTAAACAATAGCCACTAAACGTGAGAAAACTGATTTCAAATGAAATCACTTTTCTTAATAATTATATTTACCTATGTTATGTTTCTCACTGGGTATGTTTATAAGTTGCATATTCTGCTCACCTCTATGCTGTTACTATTATTAGTATTATTTTATTTTTCCCTTCACGAGTGCCTCCGATGTCTTTTGCTGAAAGCCTACCATTTTTTCCTACTGGATAGTTGGGCTCAGCTTTGTGGGACACATTGTTGTGGATTGTGTTGACCTTGGCCTTCTTTGCTTTTTAGAAATACTATTCCATTCTCTCCTTTTATTTCTCACAACTACAGAGCAATTCTGGTTATTCGAATTGATGTTCGCCTTCATAGCTAAAGGTTTTTCTTCTGGCTGCTTGTAAAATTTGCTGCTCATTTAACCATTATATGCCTTGGAGTTTTGAGCATGGATTTTTTTCCTCTGGTATCAACATTTGCTCCAGCGGTACACTGTCATCTTCATTCAATAGTTCTGCTCAGTTTTCTATTTTTTCTTGCCATATGATGGGTTTTGTGAGTTGTCATTTTTTTTTTCTGGGAGAATTATGATCCTTATGTTTTCTTTGTGCCCACTGTCAGTCCCTTTGGCTTGAATAGAATTCATGTGTTCTCTTAAAACTGCTTTTCTTTTGCAAAATTGTCTCCTGTATTCTGTATTTTTCTGTCTCAAATGTGTCATTCTTTCAGAGTTTCTAATTCTGGGGAGACTCTCCACCAGGTCTTCTAACTTCTGTGCCTTGTTTTTAAAAAAATTCTACTTTGATAGCTCTGATTTTTAACCTAATTTAATTCCTAATGCCTCTTTTAAAAGTTTTACATATATTTTGAACTGTTCTGGTGTTTCTTGTCATTTCATGACCTCTGGGGAGTTCAAAGAATTCTCTTTTTCCTTGAGGATTTTTGATTAATTTTCCTTCGCAGTGTAACATTTTCCCCATTGTATTCTGGCCTCTCTGATTTCTATCTCATTTTCTTTGTCTTTTTGAGCTACTCTGTTGGTTTATCTGCCTGTGAGTTAGGCTTGTGCTCAGGTTTCCTCCTCTTTTGGTCTTTCAACCTTTCTCTTGTATTCCTAGTTGCTTGTTTCTGCTCTCTTTCCTCACTCTTTGGCCTCTACCCTTTCTATTTCTTCAAAGTTGGATGTCCTTAGCCTCCTAGTATTGGAATGTGTGCCCACGGCTCTGCCTAGAATGAACTTTGGGAGATCAAAGACTGGCTCCCACTGGATGTACATCTCCCTTTCTACAGTCACTGTTCTTTTCACCTCTTGCTGGCTGTCCACTGACCACATCTTTACCATGACACTCCTTTTTTTCACCTCCCAGTCATTCCCGCATCCCTTTGGCTAAGTGAGTAGTATTTGTGCCTGCCTTTTCTTGTAGAACGTTGTGGGGATGGTTCAGGCCAAGTCACTGATGTGGGACACCTGAGCAGGGACCTTCTCAAATAGCCCCCGAAGCACATGCCTACAAGACTGCACAGGCTGGATACATATGGGAGGGCATTATGTGATCTTAAGTATTGCAGTTGTCATGAGGGTTTTTTTTTACCTTGTGTAATGTATTTTCTTACCTTGTAGATTCAGCTCTAGTTAATAAACATTGTATTTGTCACATAATTCCTTTTTCTGAGGACTTCAGGTTTATGGAAACCAACTACTCCACCATTTTGCAATGTGGATTCTTTTAAAAGGATTCTTGTATGGCATGGTCTCCAGCCTTCTCCTCTTCACTCTGGTTGTCCTTCTCTGGCTGAGCTCAGTTTGTTATTGTCCCTACCAAGATGTGTCATTTTATGATATGAAAAGAACAATGATACCTAGAGCATTATACTATCAACAGTGAGATATAGAATGCAATGCAAATGAAGAAATAGAAAGGTCAGGACTAGAGACCCCATGACAATGAAAATTTCTGCATAATGAAATAAAATCAATAGAGTTTGGGGGGGGCGGGAAATCTGTGTCCAGTGTTATTATATTCAGGGAACCAGGACAGTAGAATTATGGAAAAAGAAATGCTGTAACTGTGGCCAACAGCTCTAATGAAGGTGTCACCTTCTCTCCCCCTAGGCCAGGGAGTCTTATGTTGGACCTATACTATACTGGATCCTATACTGGGACTATATTGACAGAGGGAAGGAGCAAGAGTGGCAGGTGAAACCTCAGTATAGTGGAGCACCGTTAGCTCTTGGGAGTCTGATGAGCTGGGCGCCATTCCTTGTGTGTCTAAATCTGTGTTTTCTTGAAGACAGAGAGAATCTGTCTGGGGTGTCCTGCCAGCTGCCTGGGGTCTTCAGCCACACAGAGTATATGAAAGAGCTAGGAAGGGATTACCCTGTGTACTCTAGTACTCAGTGAGTGCTAGACTTGGATTCAGGAGACCTGAGTTCAAATGTTGCCACAAACACTTTCTAGCTGTGTAATCAAAGGCAAGTGCCTTCACTTTCTCTTAACCACTGTGTCTGGGAGTAACAACACTTGTACTTTTTACCTCATGGGATATTTAGAAAGCATTTTGCAAATCTTAAAGTGCTAACTCAGTGTGAGCTATTACTATTATTATTATTTATGCTATAGCCGTATCTTTGGCAACACCTTTTGAGCCCTTCCTTATCCTTTAGGGTGGGCAAGGGTTCTTGTGCCCTGAGCTGTAGGAAAATGTCAGTTGTTTCTCCACGTTGGCTTTGGTCCACAGCTCACCTTAGGTGATTCCTTGAAAGGTTCGCTGTAGAGGCTGCGGATTCTTCTGCGATCAATGACTTTATTCTCTGCTGGTGTGGGCTTGTTTGGCTCACCCTTGAACTGGGCACTGTAGCTGGTTTCATGAACCATCTTATCCTCCGGGGGCTTGTACTGGGACTTGGCTCGGATAGGTTTCACAGGCTTAATATCCGTCCACGCTCTGAATTCATTTCTGCAAATCAAAAAACACACACAAAGACATGAAATATATTTGTGGCTAGACATTTGGAGAGCAAAGCAGAGCAAAGAGTACTTAGGATCATTGACTGTCAGAGAGGATGGGCCTTAGAAGACATGTTAGCCAACCCCATTTCATGCATGAATCCTTTCTACAATATCCTTGGTGGGCGGCCATTCATTCTCTGCTTTGATACTTCCTATGACAGCTCATAACTACTTCATGTGGCAGTCCACGCTATTGTTCAGCAACTTTAATTGTTAGGGTGTCCTTCCTCATATTGGCCAAAATGCGCCTTCCTAACACTTGTCACTTTGGTCTCTGGTTCTTCCCACTAGGGCCACATAGAAGCCTAATTGATCTTCCTCATGGTAGATCTTCTCATGCTTGAAGAGAGTGCTAGTGCCTCCTCTAAGTCTTTTCCTCTTCCAGGCTAATATTCCCAGTTCCTTCCACCAATTCACCTCAAGCATGATTTTTACGTCCCCTCCCCATCCTGGTAACCCTCCTCTGAAAGTGTTCTAGCTTCTCAATGTCCATCTGTCCTTCCTTTCTTCTTTCCTACCTACCTTCCTTCCTTCCTTCCTTTCTAAAATATATATTTCTGTTACATTCTGGTTACATCCCTCCCAAAGCCACACTAGAGAAGGCCAACATTTGACACAGATATACAAGTGAAACTACACAATAAATATTTCATGGTACCCTTCTAAACAGCATTCATCGCAGCCTGCTGCATTCATGCACTCAATCAACAAGCATTTATTAAGTGCTTATTGTGTGCCAGGAACTGTGCTAAATGCTGGGAATCCTTACGAGATGTGTGACTTTTGGCAAGTCACTTAATGGCTCTTGGCCTCAGTTTTCTCATCTGTTAAAATGGGGATAATCATAGCATTGACGTCATAGGGTTGTGAGGATCAAATGAGATAACATATATAAAGCGCTTTGTAAATCTCAAAGTTACATATGTAACATATATATATGTTTATAGCTATGGCTTTTATATAGTGTTCTACAATTTACAGAGCACATTCCTCCCAACAACCTCATGCTATGGGTACTCCAGGGGGTATTTATCTCCATTTAAAGATGAACAAACTGAGGCTGGGGTTCGAGAGGTTAAATGACTTGAGTCAAGTCACACACAACCATCAAGTTGTGGAGCCAGGATCTGAACTCAAGCCTTAGGACTCCAGGGCTTTATGCTTGGAGTGCACAGCAAACATTACTTCAGTTGGAGGAAGTCTTGCATACATATCTATTGAGCGCTACATGCCCAGCACTGTACTGAGCCAATCACAAAAGTCACAGAACGTCTGGCCGTAGAAGGACTCTTTTCTTTTTTTAATTTTTTTTTGGCTAGGCAATGGGGTTAAGTGACTTGCCCAGGGTCACACAGCTAGTAAGTGTTATGTGTCTGAGGTCGGATTTGAACTCAGGTCCTCCTGAATCCAGGGCCGGTGCTCTATCTACTATGCCACCAAGCTGCCCCCATAGAAGGACTCTTAGAACGCAACATAGGACACCAGTCAGGAAGGGCTTTAGAAACTCAAATTCCATTTGACAGAGTAGTAAACTGAGGCCCAGGAAGTGATATATATATGTGTGTATATATATATATATATATATATATGTTTTGCTGACAGCAGATCAGTAACATTGCTTTTGTTTAAGGTTGTAGACATTTTGATGACAATCATTAAATCTATTACAATCCTAAATAGCCAAGGCAAGGGGGTCCCCATCCCAACTCTCCAAGTGTCAGTCATCAGCAGTTAGTAAGAAAATAATCTTCTCCCTTGACAACTCTTTTGCACTACTCCCCTCCACCATCTAGAGGCTTCTGAGCTCCTATTGATCTGATCAGCCACACTCAGTCACAACATACATTGACTCTGACACCATGATGTTATTCTGGTCCTCTTCAAGCATGAAGGATAGACAACAATAACTTTAATGCTGCCCCCAAACTGGACAGCTCTCTGACCCCATGGGACATACCTTAGGCCATCTTGTCTCTGAGTGTTGCCTTTTTTCCCTTTCTTTGCCTATTGAGTTCCTCACTGTCCTCCAGGGCTCAACGTCAATACTGCCTCAATTCAATTGACTTCAACTCAGCTGGACATTTCTTAAATAACTTCCATGTTCAAGACCCTCTTCTGGTGCTAAGTACCACTCTAGACCTCCCTGATCAAACCCAAAGTTCACAGGTTCAAAGCTTTAGAGATGAACTACGGAAGCCAACCCTTCCATTTTAGAGATGTGGAAGGCTGAGGCTGAGGTTAAGAGACTTGCCCAGGGTCATATAGTGAGGAAGCATCAGAAGCAGGTCTGGAATCTAGGTTTTTCTGCCAAGACCAGCATCCCATTCACCACACTACCTCTGGCTAAGAATCTTCCTTCTCGCCTGGTCCTTCGCTTCCACCTTTCTTATGTGCTCGCCTATTAATGGGTATGACGGATAACTGTATTTGGTTACTAAAACATGAGCTCTATAGTGACAGAGAAACGCCTCATCTCAAATGTGCATCTCTCCCACCAGTGCTTTGCACTGAACGGTTACTGATGGCTGTAGTTCATTCAGTGGTATCACAACACGGCTCATCTGGAAACGGCACCAGCTACGTCTATAAAGCCCAAACAAAGAGGCCACAAGATCACAAGGAGGGCAGAAGTTGAAGGAGGGGATCCTCTTTGGCAGTCTAGAGGAGAGCTAGCTACGGAGGAAAGAACCCTGCTTTCAAGAGGGAATCATTCTCCACCTTTTCCCTTGCCCCTCTTCCAGAAGGCAGCCCCCTTTTTTGAGATTCAGGGCTGGCTAGCTTACTATTTAAAGGCCACCAGGGACATGGTTGATCCTTTAGTCCTCCAAGATGACGATGATGGCATGGTAGATAGAGCACTGAACTTGGGGTCAGAAAGGACCTAAGTTTGAATCCTGCCTCAGACACTGGCTTGCTGTGTGATGTTGGAAAGTCACTTTTGTCTCTCTGAACCTGTTACCTCGTCCGTAAAATAGGGATAACAATAACACCTACCTCACAGGGTTATTGTGAAGATCAAATAAGATATTTTATGTGAAGCGTTTTGCAAACCTTAGAACATTATTTGAACTTTAGCTATTAGTATCCAATGAATAGCTCCCATATAATTCTAGCAAGTTTGAATGAGGAAATTATTCATATGCCTTAAAGGTTTGCCTTAAAGGGTTATTTTCTACTTCTATGGGCCACTCACAGCTTTGATAATATACCATATACAAATATATGTAATATATAATATATACAAATATATATAACAATACAATAATATACAATATAAAAATATATGTAATATATAATATATACAAATATATATAACAATACAATAATATACAATATACAAAAAAGCCACTTGGGATGTGAGTCCTAAGTTTCAGACCTTTGTTGTTGTGGTTGAGTTGTTTCAGTCATGCCCAACTCTTTGTGACCTCATTTGGGGTTTTCTTGGCAAAGATAGTAAAGTGGTTTGCCATTTCCTTCTCCAGCTCATTTGACAGATGAGGAAACTGAGGCAAGCAGGGTGAAGAAACTAGCCCAGGGTCACACAACTAGTAAGTGTCTGAGGTTGAACTGAACTCAGGTCCTCTTGACTCCAGGCCCAGCACTCTATCCATTGTTCTACCTCATTGTCAAAAAGGACAGCCATAGAATCACACAATCTCAGAGCTGGAAGGGATCTTAAGGGTCATATAATACAATCCATACTTTACCCCCCAAGCTACTTATTTTCCACATCTGCCTTCAATCACGAGTAGCGATACCACCTCTGCCCCTGACATCTTCAGTTTCTTGTCTGTGACTTCAAAATCCTTAGTGCTAGAGTCTTATTGATTGCAACATAAATTAATTGATATAGGGAAGCTAATAAATCAGCAAGGATCAGCTTGTTACCTGCTACTATCAAACAAAGATGAGGCAGCTAATTGGTGCAGTGGATAGAGCACCTGCCCTGGAGTCAGAAGGACCTGAGTTCAAATCTGACCTCTGACACTTGACATTTACTAGCTGTGTGACCCTGGGCAAGTCACTTAACCCCACTGCCTAGCCAAAAACAAACAAACACAGATAACAAAGTGTACCCTGGCTAGCTGAGTAGTCAAGTGCTCATTCCTCATTTTGCTCGCCCCAGAACCAAAAGAACCTTTTTGAGAGGGAAGATTATTCTAGCTTCCTCTGCAGATTTCACTTGGGCATATGAGGGCATTAAGGAGGGCATTACATCCAGAGCTGAATAGGGCCCTATGTGCATAATTGCAATAAGAAAGTTGATTTTAATTAAAGGCCAAAGGTACCACTTAATAGCTTGTTTATTATTATATATTTAAAATGTGTGAGTAGCTAACGTTGACATCACTTTGCCATGTGCAAAATCCTTCACATATATTCTCTTATTTGATCTTCACATTTAGCCTTATGAGGCATATATGCTGCAAATACTATTCTCCCCATTTTATAGATGAGGAAAATTAGGCTCATTGTGATTAAGTGACTTGCCCAAGCTCATATGGTCATTACAGGAACAAGAGGGTGGGAAGGAGAAAAGATGAATGGAAAATGTGAATTGCTATCATGATGATATGTTTTTTTCCCTGAAATTAAGGGAGAGGGGAGGGGTAGCTAGGTGGCACAGTAGATACAATGCCAGGCCTAAAGTCAGGAAGACTGATCTTCCTGAGTTTAAATCTGGCCTCAGACACTTACTAGCTGTGTCACCCCAGGCAAGTCACTTTACCCTATTTGCCTCAGTTTCCTCATCTGTAAAATGAGCAGGAGAAGGAAACGCAAACCACTCCTGTATCTTTGCCAAGAAAACCCCAAATGGGGTCATGAAGAGTCAGACATGAATGAAACAACTGAACAACAAAAACAAAAAGGGGAAAGGGGATAGCAAATCTGATTTTTAAAATGCAATAGTAGGTGTTTCAAAGGGAAATAGAAGTATTTAAAAAA